ATTGCCTCGGAACCAAAGAGATTTTATATGATGGCAAAGGTGAAGAAATAAAATGGCAGTTCATCGTTGACTTAGTTAATCTTCAAACGTCTCAACAAGTGAACCTTGGAAATAAATTGTGCAGAACACATGTTGAGTTTCACGATAATAAGATGAACGTAAGACTAGCAGCAGAAACAATAAGTAGCAGTACTGCCGCTTCTATTGAATATCTCAACGTTAGCATGCAAAATCCAAAATTCAAAAACAGTGAAGCCACCATTGAATATATTCGTGTATTCAATAACCTTTTCGATATTATGAATACAAAAGAGAATCACACCAACAACGAATATAAGCGCCCGTTTTCACCAGAAATAACGAAGTTCTTCGAAAGTTTGTTCGACTATGCCAAAACGTATATCAAAAATTTGCAAGTGGTGGAGAACGAAAAAAAGAAAATGATTTTGGACTCACGATCATTTACTCCATTTTTTGGATTTTTACAAAATATCGAAAGTTTCAAGGGTATTTATTATGACTATACAAGAAGATATGGTTTTAATAAATTATATACGTTTGCCGTATCACAAGACCATCTTGAGACATTTTTTGGCAAAATTCGACGAATGAATGGGTGTAATGATAACCCCAGTGAGCAACAATTCACAGCGGCATACAAGAAATTATTGTTTCAAAATGAAATTACAACATCACGCAAGTCCAACTGTGAGAACGATGTAACAAAAATTCTTTCTGTGTCATCATCATCAGCAAAAAAAGAGAAATCAAGCTCAGATGACCAAGAGCATGTTGAACTATTGGCAAACCTTGAGGATTTAGGTTGTTTCCAGGATACAAATGATAAATTAAAAAATAACGCCAGAGCCGTCTTGGCTAGTATTGTGGAAACAAGTCTAATTAGAAAATTGGTGCGAAAAGGCAGAAAAATGTGCTCAAAATGTATGGAAGTGCTCATGGAGAACGAAATCACAGACGATGAATTTATTGCTTTCAAATTTGAAAAGAGTCAATTTTATCAACCCTGTAAAAGTACCTTAGACATCATACATTATACCGAAAACGTTTTGGCGAAATTGGAAGGAATTGAACTCTCTTATGAGGCGTCCGTTTCAGCTATATTAAAACATATTGATATGTCTCAGTTGTTTTCGTCTTCGGATTTTGAGGAACATGGTGGTCATGATCAAAATCATAAATACAATCTCATCAAATACATAATAGAATTATATTTAGACAAAAAATCTATCTTTGTCAGTAAATTGGTTACACGGGAATCAAAAGATAAACTGATTCGTCATAAAAATCTCAAAAATGTTCATTTCTCTGGGCAATAATCAACATCAGACAACGAATACATTGACTTATTCAAACAACAAACTTTCAAGTAAGTTAGGCATGGTGAGGCAGTTAAATTGATTCGAGTTCATATTTATGTAATAAGTTATAAACTGACACGGATGATTTCGAATTAATTTTATTCCAATTTGATTTTACTCTTACAACGATGTGTTCGGCTCGAGTGTTCACAACAGAATAGGAAGAGACATATGTTCCAATATGACAGCTGAGCTACAAGTGTCACTGAGCTACATTTACCATTTCGCCACATTCATGCATCGGGCAACATTTGACAATTCCATTTCATGCTCACACTCATACATACATAATTCCCATGCACACACTCATACATACTCACGCATACTTCAATAACATTACAACTCGGCCGTTCTGACAAAACAATCGACCACGATTTTTGTACAATAAATTGTTAACTTTACATGTCCAAAAACTCATAATCTGAATATTCATTACTTAAAGGTTCTATTTCTAACTCTAAAGTGTTGCCTTCTGTGTCCGTTTCATTAAACTCTGGCTCTGGTTCCAACCACATCTTAATTCTACTTGAATCTATTACACTGTTGTATGGCATCTGTGTTACCTGACAATTTTCAACATCTGTTACAACGTATCTATCATTATCTAAACGTTTACGAATTACATATGGGCCCTTGAATTTTTTAATTAATTTTTTGTTCTTGCCAACAGTGGTATCCACATTCTTAATTACAACTAAATCTCCCGGATTAAACTCTTTCGCTGGTTTATGGTGCTTTTCAAAATACTTTTGGTTGTACGACTGAGACTTCTGAATTGCGACCTCTGCTTTTGCTCTTATATCATCTAAGCCCTTTTGCTCTTTGGCATAAACTTCATGCAAATACTCTGTTAGTTCATCAACCACTTCACCACGCTGTTCAATACCGAACAACATTCGACTTGGCGTCTGTTTTGTAGAACAATGCACAGTGTTATTCACAGCAAACTCAACATCTGACAATTTCTTTTTCCAATCAGTATGACTTATGGGGTCAGTTATTTTAGCCAACACTGCCTTCATGACACGGTTAACTCTTTCCACCTGACCATTAGATTGTGGCGAGGCGACTGCATTCTTGATACGTATTATGTTTCTCTCTTGCAAAAACTCTTCAAACTCTTTTGATTTAAGACCCGTTCCACGATCATTAATAATTCTCTTCGGGCGACTGTACTCTGCAAAATATTTACGTAGTGCACAAATTGTTTCCTTTGTACCAGTATTAACAGCATATAATTTAGTAAATTTAGTGAAAGCGTCGATCACCACCAACACATGCTTATGTTTCGAATTTACCGTTTCCAATGGACCAAAATGATCAATATGTAATGTATCGAATGGCTCTGGCTTCTTTGGTATACTGTACATATTACGCTCGTTTTTCCGCGCAGGAGTTGAATAGTAGATACACTTCAAGCAGTTTCTGATAAATTTGTTCACCTTTTCGCGCATGTGTGGGAACCAATAGTGTTTCTGTATTTGGTTCGTGCACTTGTCAATACCCAAATGACCATAATTCTCATGTATCGATCTAATTATACTCGTTTCCATTTCATATGGCACGTACAACTGTTGATTTTCACCACTGACACGAAAGACCAATCCGTTTTCAAGTTCATATCCCGTTACTTCTTCTGTTTCTAACTTCTGTCTTAGCTGCTGGATTTTTTTATCGCGCGTCTGTGCTATCTGTATATTCAAATCAACTTCACCCTCCACGATGCTGCATACATTCAGACCCACACGACTTAATGCATCAACATGTGTCATCTGGTGGCCCGGCCGATGACGCACTGTAAAGTTATAATTTGCCAGTCCCAATGTCCAACGTGCAATGCGAGGGTTAATTAGTTTCTTTTCCAATGCCATAACCAATGAATTACAGTCTGTCACAATAACAAATTGCATGCCGTCCAAAAATGTTCTAAATCTTTCCAGTGCATTTACAATGGCCAACGTTTCCAATTCAAAACTGTGGTAACGTGATTCCGCTTCTGTTGTAGTTTTCGAAAAATATGCAACTGGGTGAAACTGTTTATCGTCTTGCCTCTGTAACAATGCTCCACCATATCCACGTGAACTGGCATCTGTATGCAACTCTGTTTCTCGTTTCGGATCAAATATAGCCAATACTGGTGCCTCTGTTAACTTCTTTTTCAATATCGTAAATGCTTCCATACATTCATCTGTCCACTCAAATTTTGCATCTTTTTTAATTAACTGATTCAATGGTCGGGCAATCCGTGAAAAATCAAAAACAAATCGTCTAAAATATGAAAACAATCCAACGCATCGCTGTGTTTCTTTTGCATCTGTAGGCACTTTATAATTTCTGATCGCGTTTAAATGTGCTTCATTCGGGCGAATACCATGCTCATTCACCACATAGCCCAAATATTCTATCTCGTCGTATGCAAACTTGCACTTTTTTAAGTTCAACTTCAATCCAGCCTCTGCCAACAATGTCAATACGTCTGTCAATATCTCCATGTGTTCTTCAATTGTTTTCGTAGCTATGTTTATATCGTCCAAATACACAACAATTTTTCCAGCATCAATCAATTCTCTCAAGACCAAATTAATAAATCGTTGAAATACTGGTGGTGCATTCGTCAAGCCAAACGGCATGTAAACGTATTCGTACTGACCCATCGGAGTCACAAATGCTGTTAGTTCAATAGAATCTGGATGCATCGGCACCTGATGGAAGCCATTCTTCAAATCCAAAGCGCTAAAATACTTCTTACCACCGCCCAAATATTCCAAACAGTCTTCAATCAACGGCAACGGAAAATGATCTCTTACTGTAAGCTTATTCAATGCACGGTAATCAACACACATTCTCAATTCACCATTCTTCTTTCTGACCAACACAATTGGCGATGCATAAGGCGAGCTACTTGGTCTAATAATACCCTGTTCCAATAGATCATCAATTGCCTTCTGTACTTCAATCTTTTCTTTGTATGACAAACGACGCGGGTTACTGTATACTGGTTCATCATTCTTCAGTTTAATTTGCATAGAATAACTACTGAACTTATGGTTTACCCCCTTTGTTTTCACGTGGTTTCGATAAATGGTTGATTTCAGAGCATCTGCATGTTTCTTATCCAATTTCTTGTTAATATCAATTAATTTATCAAACTCATCTGTCTCAGTCGCACTTACCAATAAAATTACTTCATCATAATCAACCAATTCTTCTGTTTCATTTAAATTAATTACACCGATACATTTATCAAATCGAGTTTCACAACTGTTCAAGTCATCAACAATGTTTACCTCTGGTTCAATCCGTTTACTTACACTAGATCTCTTTCCAATCTGCTTAACAACTGCGTCTGTATTCTTAAAACTATCTGTGGTTGGTACCTCTGTAACGCTATCATTCGGACTCTTAAACAAATTAAACAACTTAAGTGCACTGGTACTTTTGGGCATTTTATTCTTCATATTACTTCTGATTTTAATTAACTCGCATGCTGTATATTTGTACGATTTTATTTGGCATAAATAAACTTCTAATTTTGTCAATAAATCACGGCCCACAAGTAAAGGTACCACGGCCTCATTATCTGGCAAAACAAAAAAATTATGTATCAACTCTTTGCCTCTGAACACAAATTTACACGCGATTTTGCCATACATACTTAATTTTTTATTGCCCATTCCACGATACGGTGTACATTTTAATTTATTCATCGCAAATGGTACCATCGAACGTCGCACAAAACTAACGGGGCTACCAGAATCAAATAAAGCATTTCTCGGAATCAACTCAGTGCACTTATTTTGTTTATTCATAAAGGCAACACTTACCATTTGCATCGATGACAACTGCGTTGCTAGACGGCGCACCTCATTCCCATTTTCCGAAATGTCCCAATTGTCTTGATAGTTTGTTTCTGGTGGCGGATTTCCAACCGATGCAACTGTATTTGGTTCTCTGGCTTCTGGCTTCTTCTTTTTCGGACATTCATGACGCGTATGTCCACCCTCATGGCATATGAAACACGAGTTTGGCGGCCGTTTTGGAGCCGTGCACTTGCTCTGGTAATGACCATAATTGAAACAATTGTAGCAACGAATTCCCGACAAATCAATTTCACCAACGCTTTTTGTTGCATTGGCACTGGCACTTGCAAAGGCACGTGTATTTGCACTGGCATCTGGCACGTTTGACTTTGGCTTCGTCATTGCAGCTGGTATGGCACTTGTTTTTGGTTGCACTGTGACACGACGCAATTTTTCATAACGTTCTGTCAACAATTTCAAGTCGGCTAATGTACGAGCACCGTACAGAATTGATGCATGCACACTTTTGTCGTTTAGGCCACTGATGATCAAATCAATTAAGTCGGCTTCTGGAATCATCGATCGGCTTGCAATGTGTTGCATTTCGATTATATATTCACGTGGTGTTTCATCTGGCTTGATAACACGGGCTTTCAATTGGCTGAAGACATCTTGCACCGTGTATGCACGTTCGTATTCGGTCAATAATGCTTGCTTGAATTGCTCGTATGCAAATGCCGATGTAATTTCCGCAAAACGTTTTGCACGACCGGTCATCAAATGACGTGTTGCAACCAATTTATCGCGATCACCATAACGGAACATTGCAAACACATTTTCCAAATTCTCGATCCATTTTGTTACATCGTGCAATTCGGTGCCATCAAATTTATTAACCATTGCGTCGAGCACGTGTAGATCAATTTTTCGCGTTTCGATTTGTATCAATTCCCGTTGTAATTCCGTCAATTCACGCTTTTTTCCGTACAATGGCCAATTGTCGATCGATTTCGGCCTCTTCTGCGTCCCAATCTAAATTCAACCGATTGTGAACACTTACATTTGCATCTGGTTGCGTCTGTTGCATCTGTTGTTGTTGTTGTTGTTGTAAAGCTTCACGTTGTTGTCGCTGTTCATCTGTTTCATCTGGATCATTTTGCATCTGTTGTGTTTCATTTCGCATCTGTTGTACACCATCCGGTCCCAATTCATTCAACTGTACACGTTGCTGCACGTTATTTCCACGATTTTGCCCGATTTCCGCAATTAAATCATCATATAATGGTCGTAATTGCACCATTGTTGCTTCTGGATGAAACGCAATGCCGGCCTCTGTTAATGCACGCACTACATCTGCACGTCGTAATGAATATGCCATCGTAACAAAATCCAAAAAAAATATTCAATTTCCGTAATTAATCGAATAAAAATAATACGTTCTTATTAAAGTTCGGCACGTTCTCTAACGAATCCCGCTTCTGAATTTGTAATAAGTTATAAACTGACACGGATGATTTCGAATTAATTTTATTCCAATTTGATTTTACTCTTACAACGATGTGTTCGGCTCGAGTGTTCACAACAGAATAGGAAGAGACATATGTTCCAATATGACAGCTGAGCTACAAGTGTCACTGAGCTACATTTACCATTTCGCCACATTCATGCATCGGGCAACATTTGACAATTCCATTTCATGCTCACACTCATACATACATAATTCCCATGCACACACTCATACATACTCACGCGTACTTCAATAACATTACGGTGACCGCACTAATTCCCGAAACATATTTCCCGAAATACATTTTCTCGAAACTGTAAAATAGGCCTTATTCCCGAAAAGGATATTTTCCCGAAAGACAATTTCCCGAAAAAAATTCCCGAAAAAACTTTTTCCCGAAAAAAAATTCCCGAAAAAACTTTTTCCCGAATTTTTTTCCGGAAGACATTTTGACAATTCTATACCAAATTGCTCAATTTTTTTAAAGTTCTTTAACTTTGGTTAAGATTTCTCATGAACTAAGTCTGATGAAGTTTTAGTCTGAAGAAGAGTGAACTTTTTTCCCACAGCAATGAAACGACAACAACAATAACACATATTTTTACTGTCAAATATTTGATGTCAAATGGTGTCGACATTGGTGACGGTATTTTGAAACAGACCTATGTAAAGTTCTATACTTGATCTAGTTCACATTGACGGTTCAAATCGTTTATGTCCACTAGCGTGGATATGGACTATGTGTTTCTTCTGTTACATGTACGTTGTAATGGACAAGTATAGAAATCCGTCCACTCGTGTCGACACCATCTAGCACGGTAGTAGCGATTTCATTGCTGTGTTTTTTCCGAATCCAAAATCAAATTTAATTGAAATAGAAATAGATTGCGCTCGTTCGGTATTGCGTTACATTTTTTCACTCCCATTTTTCCCGAATCCAAAATCAGATTGAATTGAAATAAAAATTGGAGAGAGTGCTTAGAATGGAATACAAGACCGAACGAGCGCGCGCGCGAGTGAAGGTCTTGTATTCCATTCTAAGCACTCTCTCCCATTTTTTCCGAAACCGCAGCCAAGCAAAATTAAATAAAAATAAAAATAGGAGAGAGTGCTCAGAATGGAATACAAGACCGAACGAGCGCACGCGCGAGTAAAGTGCTCATCGAAAAAGTGTTTTATACTATTCGAGATAAATATACTATTCCGGAAAAATATCAGGAAAAAAATAGGAACATATGCTATTCCGAAAAAAAGTCACTATTGGGGGAAAAAAGTGGTGGAAAAAAATTGGGAAAAAATTCCGGAAAAAATTCGGGAAAAAAATTTGGGAAAAAAATCGGGAAATTTCGGGAAAAAAAATTCGGGAAATTTGACTTTCGGGAAAAAGTTTTTCGGGAAAACGTTTTTCGGGATTTCATTTTCGGGAAAATGTACCGTTCGGGAAAAAAAATTCGGGAAATCAACTTTCGGGAAATTGTATTTTCGGGAATCATTTTCGGGAAAAAAATCGTTCGGGAAAATGTATTTTCGGGTAATTGTGCGGTAATCAACATTACATTTAATTATTTTTTTTTTCGAATTATGCTGCTAATCAAAATGTATATGAATATTATGGTTTTTATTCCTTTCTTTTTCTAATGAATTTGTTATTTTTTATATTTTCAGAGAGAGTTTTAAGCGGTTTTCATTTTTATTGGATGAAATAAAATAAAGGAAAAAAATTTCTTAAGTGGTTCAAATGTACGTTACACTTTAAAATCAACAAAAAAAAAAAACAAGATAAAATATATTTATGTAATGACACCAAGACACCAATTTTTTATTATTTTGTATTTAATATTAAAATCATTTCAATTACTTTCATTCGCATAGTGACAGTCGGTGACAGTCGACCGCTGTAAACCATAGTGAATTTCATGTGTTTCACATTTGAGTTATAGGCGGCGCTGATGCTTAGTTGGTGACATAATTGATGCATATAAAACCTCCACACG